CTAAAAGTTTTTACCCTTGCCAATTGCTTATATAATTTTTACATAAGCTTAGGATTAAAGCACAAGCTGCAAAAATACATTGAAATTCTAGTAAAGTTATAATTTTCCTACACTGAAAATGTATTTCTGATAGGTACTTACCTCCTCTTGTTCAGTGCTGCCCTCTATATGGTTCAGTTGTGTCTCACATGTACATTATCATGCAACGAACCTATACCAATAGGAGTGCGATACACCCTTCCGATGTACGACTTCCTCTATCTGATTCTATTGAACTATCACTTTGAGTCTAGGCAGAAAAAGAAGCATTGGTTTTCTGTGAGAATGAAGGGTGAGAGGAGGTAAGGACCTATAGGAAATAGATTTTCAATATAGGAAAATTATAACTTTCGATACGGTACATTACCTCCTCTCACATATATAGCTAGAATCCCACACTGAATAGGTGGAGGTACCGGTGCAAGGAATAGAAATAAGAATCCTTCAGAAGTGTCCAAAGAACACTCCAGAATTGTGATCCCCATAATAGAGGATCATAGATTGGATACTGGACCACTTTACCAGGTATACTCTGCACTCAGTGTGGAAAGAGATATTACATACATGGGTGGAAAAAGGGAGAAGCACAACCAAAAGGGAGAGAAAAACAGTTGGATTGGACTCCAAACCACAGTATATCATAATGCCAACACTGGAGACAGTGCAACATGTGACCACGAAAACCCTACTGGACCAGAACCTACAGGATAGTCACCAGTATTGCTAGCATCGATGAAACCTACATCAAGAAACACAATGAATGGTACAACCCCTAGTGGTAGGAACAGGTAAAGGACAGGAGGATACAAGATGTGGAACAGTAACAGGGCTCAGATTGAGACAAACAAGCAACCAAAAATAAAAGGGTCGAATGTTGCTTCACAGATTCCATATTCTCTGGAATATCCCCAAAAATGGACTGATGGAGAAAAGGAGCCATCCACAAGTCCCAAAAATAAGTGGATGGTAAACAAACTTGGGACAAGACAGCATCCCTCCAAAGGAGATTCCAACAAGAAAGAAACCACGTGTGAAAGTAGAGAGCTGAAGTGGATAATCATGCCAATGGAGATAATGAGTAAGAATGTATCCCCCAAAAATCCCTTAGAGATCAATGGAGTACTTCAGAAAGGAGGTCTATGGTGAACAAATACCAGTGGAGAATTGTAAGGGTAAGACGAGGGCAAAAAAACTGAGCATGGGATAAATTGATAGGACTGTCAGGGTTAGCTCCCCCATACAGGTCAAAGTTATTCTAACTGCTGAGAATCAAGAAAAGGGAAATCTACCTGATGGTAAGCCAAGGCAAAATGATCCGAGGCCTGTGGAGGGAAAGGCATGCTAGCACCCACTTGCAACTGAGAAACAAAATGGGAATGCGAGGCTTGTGGCATGCAAAAAAACACTTTTTGCATAAAGAGGGCAGCATTGAATGAGAATAGCTATAGAAGGCTAAATGTGGGGTAACGTAAAGTATCAGAAATGTTGTTTTGGTGTTGTTGAAAAGAAGTCTTCCCATAGCAAGAGTACTTTTGCTCAGGGCCATTTCAACTTTATTTGATAGGAAACTCTGCACATTTATTAGAAACAACAAACATTCTAACAGTTCAACTGTACCTTATGATTTTCATTGGATGAGGTCTTAACAAGTCTACATGTTAATCACTGAACCATCAATGATCTAAGACAAAGTTGTTACAATGTAATGACACAAAAGAAGTATCTTATTATTCCTTCAGCTTCATAGTTTTCTTACCCTTTTTGACTGTGAGAAGCTTTTGGACAACCTTTCTGATCACTTTAATTTCAAGTTCAATAGAAGCCCATTCATGACTGCTTCCATGTTTATATTTAATTAATATAAATGATTTATGCAAACATCACACCTTCCATTCTTGAACTTGCAACTGAGGTTAGGGTCAATATGACTTTGGACCTTCCCCCACTACAACTTTTATTATGTAGTATAAGTACAAGTGTATATAGACTAGTTTACTAATGAAAACAGGTCACTTAAACTAGCCTTTAGTAATGGGAAATTAATTTGCAAAAAAGTAATTATTCTACTACTTACCCAAAATACTGACATAAATGATATTGATGAACTGGAGGAAAACTGTATTTACAAATGATTCTTCTGCAGCTTGAAAGTAGTAAACTGATGAGCACAACATTCATTAAAAGTTTAAAGTTGTATTACTTGAAAACTGAAACTAATTTACCATTGAAATCTTGAAAGTACTTTTTTATCCTTTGCCAGATATTGTAGTAACCAAAATAACATCATTTAATATTTAGGAACAACAAAGGACCTATTGGTCCATCTGAGCTGTCCCATCTACTAAACTAAACTAAAATTATTAAATAAGAATATAAAATAAAACATAAAATAAACCTGAAAGCCAGCCCTTATCATGCATATAGTTATCAAGCTTTCTGATAAACACACAGTACATAATTCAAAGTTATACCTATCTATGCCCTTGTAGATGACAAAATCACATTTCCTGAAAATATTATTTGCATAACACTGTAACATAGCTGGAACACGTACACAACCCTTACAATACTCACTCAGCCAGAAAACAAATTTACATAATATACTTACCTAATAACAACAAACAACCTATAGTAATCTAACCATTCACAAATTAGTTACTTAACCATTACAAATTTATAACATAACATAATGTTTAGGGACAACAAGGGACCTATTGCTCCATTGAGGCTGTCCCACCCCTAAACTAAACTAAAACTATTAAATAAAAAAATAAAACAAAAACCTCAAAGCCAGCCCTTATCATTCATACAGTTATCAAACTTTCTACTAAACTCACTTAAATTTTCTGTCTCCAAAACACCTGAAGTCAACTCATTCCAGAGGCCAACCACTCTGTTAAAAAATAAAACTGTCTTAGCTGAAGATGACTTCTACCCTGCCAAGATTTATATTTGTGTCCCCTAGTCCTACTATTCTTGCCATTAAGTATGAAAAAAAGGTGATGCATCAACACTATCTATACCCTTTACAATCTTAAACACATCAATCAGATCCCCTCTAATTCTTCATTTTTGAAGAGGAGACAATTTCAAAGATCTTAATCTCTTCTCATATGACAACCCTCCATCCCAGGCACCATTCTAGTAACCCTTTCCAACAATTCAGTATCTTTCCTTAGGTTAGGAGCCCAAGACTGAACACAATATTACAAACGTGGCCTAACCAGTGACCTATACAATGAAATTATAACCTCTTTAGACTTGTATTCAATATTTCTATAGATTCAACCTAAAATCCTATTTGCCCTACCATTAGTAACAGCACAATGCTTGAATGGCTTTAAAGACTGATAAACTATTACACCAAGATCCTTTTCTTTCATGACACTGTTAAGATTATTCCCATCCTAATTATACTCATAATTCAAATTATAATAACCCATATGCGTTATCTTGCATTTATTATAATTAAAACCCAGCTGCCATTTATTCACCCAACTCCCTAAATACTTTTGAAAAGCAGCAGTATCCTCCCAAGACCTTATTTTTATCAACAAATTTAAGCAATATTTAACCATTCTTTCATGTATGTCACTGATGTAAATAAAAAAAGATCAAAAGTCCTAAGACTGAGCCCTGAGGTACCCCACTTGTGACATTAATCCAATTTAACTGACCTCCATTTATAACCCTCTACTTTCTTCCATCCAGCCACTCTTCTATCCAACTGGCTAGCTTATTCTCACACCTAAAGAGATAATTGTTTTTAAAAGCCTTTTATGTGGCACCTTGATAAATGCTTTCTGAAAATCCAGATACACCAAATCTACACCCTTACAATCATCTACATAAACAGTAACCTTTTCAAAGAACATCAAAAGATTTGTAAGGCAAGATTTGCCCTCAATGAAACCATGATGACTATCCAAATAAAATTCTAAACATTGTTAAATGACTTTGCAAAGCATCTTTTATCAGACTTTCTAAAACATTTCCCACAACTGATGTAAGACTAATAGGCCTACAATTACTGAGATGAGTTTTATCACCTCCCTTGAAAAGACTTTAGAGTAATATTAGCCAACTTCCAATCCTCTGGCACTTGCTCATTATTCAAAGAATAACAAAAAATAGTAGCAAGTGGCTCACATATCCAATCCTTAACCTCCTTCAAAACCCTTGGGAAAATATTATCTGGCCCAGGAGCCTTATCATTCTTTAAGCTTCCCAATGTTTTTCTTAACAAGCTCAAAATTCATGTGATCATCTTGTTTCCATCTATCAACTGTTCAAGATAAGGAATATTGCTTATATCTTCATTAGTAAAAACCGAAGAAAAAGCTGAATTTAATAACCCAGCTATCTCATAAACATCAGATACAAGCATTCCTTTATCACTCAAGGGTCCTACCCCCATTCTAACATTTTGTTTACCCTTAATGTATTTAAAAAAATCTTTACTGTTAATTTTTACATTTTCAGCCAACCTTTTTTCATACATCCTTTTCGGTAACCTAATTTCCTGTTTGACCAACTTTCTTAATCTTCTAAATCTCCCATCATACCAGTCAATTAAATTTCTTAAATTTGTGATGCCTTTCTTTGATTTTATCCCTTTATAAATTATAATTATACCATTTGTGAGCCAACCTGGTTTTTTAATATGAGTAGAGGGTGCTACTGAAGAGGGAGGATGTTGAAAATCTAAGCTCATAGATTTCTGAAAGTTATCTAATATTATTATTTGTAGTAATTTGAGTTAAATAACACCATAATAACTAGATATAATAAGATTGGTGAATAAAAGTAAGACAGTAAAAGTTTTAACTTAGAGTTTAGGGGTGTAAATTATTATTACAATGTTTTAACTTAAAATAGGCTTAATACGTTTAACGGTACTTTAAGCTTAAGTATATTTATACTCACTAGTAAATTGTAAAACAGGATAAATTAATTAAATAAATGCAATCTAAAAATTAGTTTATTGTTTCTTGGTGTTCTAGAATGAACATGTTTATTTGAACTTAGATCCATTAAACTCAGCTCATACTTTATAGATATAGGTAGGTTATAATATATATCAGGCTAATGTAAATACATGTTATTATTAACATTAATGTTACGTATATTGTTCTAATAAATTAAGTTCTATATAACCAAGGATAAACTTTATTATTTTAGTGTGAAGACAAAGTAGTGATAAAAAAATTATATAACTGGTTCTTAAACGTTAGGCTTAACAGTAATGGTGGTAATAAACTACTGGCATTTGGTATCAAGTATTATTTTCACTTTCAGGCTATAACGACATAAATACAATGGTTAAGACTAGTGTAGGAGTTAAGTGTAATGGGTGCAAGGAGTAGGTTTTATTTGGGAACTCAGGAGTGGAATGTACTTTTAAGGAAGCTAGTAGTAGTAATGAAGATGTACAATTTTTATGTAGAGTTTGTAGGTTGGAGGAAAAGTTAGAGGCAATCATGATTAAAGTAGATGTAATACATAAAGAGAAGTGTAGATTGTGGGAAATGGCAAAAGGATGCAAGGGATACATCAGCTAACAATGACTTTAAGGAAGTTAGAAAGAGTACTGTTAGGGCTAAATATGGTGAATTTAGTTATAATAAGCCTATTCTGTTGAGCAACAAATTTCAGCCCTTGGCTCCAGAAGATGGAGAACTTATTGGAGGGAAAGAAAACAAGAGTCAGAGAAGGATGTGGATGATAAGGAGGTCATAGTTGTAGGTGATAAGGCCTTGATAAGGCATGTGGATAGAATAGTCTGTGGGGTAAATAGGGAGAAAAGAATCAGATTATGCTACACAGGGGCACAGGTGGAGGATATAACTGACAGAGCAAGAGATATAACAAAGGGGGCTAGCAGAGATGCAGTTTTTGTAGTGCATGTAGGGGCTAATGATGTAGGGAAAGGTAGGTCAGAGGAGCTAATTAATAAGTATAAGAGGTTGATAATGGCACTTAAAGAAAACGGCCACAACTTAATTTTGTCAGGGATACTGCCCAGAATTAACTGTGGAGATGAAGTTATAAGTAGGTCATTAGGTCATGCTAGGGTTAGAATAGTATGTAAGGATGAGTAGATTGGCTGGTTGGACTTGTGGGATCAGTTCAGTGGGATAAGGGAGTTTTTTGCAATGGATGGTTTACATTTAAATAAGATAAGGACTGGCTTGTGTGAAAGAGATATTAATTCAACTGTATTCCAACAGATTAGATTATACAAAATTCCCTGACTTTTCCCTGACCAATAAATTCAAAGCAAACTGACAAAAACTATAGTGTAAGTTTTAAATAAATGTTAACAATGTTAAATAGAGTATGGGCTGGCTTGTTTGCTAAGGCTATTAACTTAGCTGTAATGGAAGTTTTAAACCAGGACTAGACTGTGGTGAGGGCCAGGAAAAACTGAATGCAAAAAGAATAAGAAGCAGAGAAAAGTTTACCATAGGAAATGAGTATAGAAGTAGTTATGAGGATAGGCTTAATTGTTACTACTGTAATGCTAGAAGTATAAGAAATAAAATAGATGACTTTAGAGCACTGGTAGGAATGGAGGATTCTGATATAATGGGACTAACTGAAACATGGTTAAACAGATGATTTTGATGACAGAATTTTTTTGAAATACAGGGTTATAGGCTATTTAATAGGGATAGAGTATTAAAGAGAGAAGGAGGAATGGCTTTATGTAAAATGTGAGTTACATCCTGTTGAAGTTGAGGATATCAAAGATAATAGCAAAG